TTGGCATGTACACTGCCTTCCCCAGGGCGCAATAATCAGGGCTGATAAGCAGCAAAGGGAGCTTGAAACCAGTTGTTCAGTATCATTGACCTATAATCCACTTCTGATATTTCCCTTATAAGATTCTCTTTTTTACTTAGTGTGTGTGTGTATTAATTTATTTAATCCCTGTTCATTTAGTAAATGTACAATAAAATCAGAGTTGGGTTTAGATAGTAAACTTTTTAAATTAATGAAACTAAGAATCATAGAATTGGTCCAAGTCAGGAATAAAGCATAAATTCTATTTATTTATGCTTTTACCTATTGGTATTGGTCATAATTTCTGCAGTGTCACTCTATAGATCCCATTAAATTATATCCAAATATTTAAGCTGTTTTTGCTGTTTATTTTTTAACCCATGTATCTGATTATAAATAATTTTCTATTTGAATGCATTTATTTTCAATTCTTTTTAAAAATATAAGTTGTCTGATGCTTTGAGGAGCAACCAATGGCATGCACGCCTATAATTTGCTGTCCAAAAACACTTGTGAGCATGAAAGTGGGTATTATTAATAATTGTCCCTGGACAACAGGCTTAATTGGAGTAGAACTGTCCCCTGCCAACTGGGGACATATCCTCAAGTATGTATCTTATCACTTACCCTGGTGCCTAAAATTTCTATCATTGCAGTATTGTTTCAAATTTAAAGATTGTGACTTTAGGAATCTTCTTTCTGAATAGAGCTATATTACATGGGAATATTAATGTATTAACCTACCATTACCCACTAACAATTTAGTGAAAGTAACTGATCTGTTCTAGTAATGGCTCTACACCAGAGAAGTTGGCAAACTTTTAAAAATAAATGTCTGGCTACTAAACATTTTAGGCTTTGTGGCCCGTATGATCTCAATTGCAACTATTCACTCTACTGTTGGAGTAGAAAACAGCCACAGACAATACTTAAATTAATGAGTATGACTTTGTTACAATGAAACTTTATGAATAAAAACAGGTGGTGGGCCAGATTTGGCCCATGGGCCATCCTTTGTCCACACCTGCTTTTGAGGACTGAGAGGCTGGCAGATGAATTTACCTCTCAGAATTATGTTACTTCTCAACTGTTTGTCTTGTGGCCCTCATCATTGACTAATTCCCACGAGTATGTTGCCTTGCCTAATAATCTGGTGACTCAGGGTCAGCTTGGCCGTGAACCTAACCTCAGGTTGCCTCCAAGTCAGAGAATCTGTAAGATTTAATCAGCAGCCCTGGGTTCCTGAATATATGGTTCAGACTTGGATTTATGTGACAGTCTGAGATCCACTCTAGAATGGACCTGAAGTTCTTTAAAAGTCAGATGGGCTGGATACAGACTAATTTTACATGCACATAGAACCAAGACTGATGTCTCAACACTTCCTTGATCTTACCTGGCTTTGAGTCGGCAGGGGGCGTTTGCTCACAGTTTCACTCCTCCGTTTATATTCTGTCACTCCTTTGATGAGACTCAGGCCTGCTTCTCTTTTATTCTTATATTGCTTGGATCAGTTGTAGGCCTTTACATGTTTTATTTCTCTTTCCCACCATTCCAAATTCCATTCCTATGTCTTTACATCATACACTTCTACACAATGTAATGGCCCATAACCTAATAGCTTTGTTCAACTGTAGTTAGTTTTATGGATCAGATTTATGTTATTTTATGTATAAAAGTATTTTTATACACATTTATACATTTTTCAAGTATGTATGTACTTCATCTTATCTTCATACTTCTAATAGACTCACTACCAAAATGACTTAAAACACTTCTGAGCAAAAATACAAAAATTCCTAATAAACAAATATTTTTGAGTACCTGCTATATGCTAAACATATAACAGAATGAATGGCAAATTTTCAAATAAAAAAATGAAAAACGGCAGATTTTGTAAGCAAAACCAAACCAACAAATACAAAACCAAATTTTGCTGCATAAAGATAAGGCTTTGAAGCTAAACCTTTGCTTGGAGTTTCCTGACAGCCAAGGTAAAAGAAAAAAAATTACAGGTTTTATAATTTTCTTGGTCTGGTAAAAGGAATCACATCAGCTGATGAAGAATTTTTTTCTGACCCTGAACTTTAAATTTTTCTTCTTTAAAATGGTATCATGTCCAAATAATTTGCTGTTGCAATAACACTTGCTGTTGCTTATTAAAGAGTGAGAAGTGGGATCATTAGAGCTGTGGAATCAGAACAACATGGTTCAAATCCCAGTTCTGCAATATCCTGCTTGCACGGCTTCCAGCAAACCACTTAACCCCCTAAGCCTTAATTTGCTGTCAGTAAAATGAGGATGATATCTACCTTCTGGGATGTTGTAAGCATTGATACATACATAAAGGATTGATTATAATGAGTGCAAAATCCATCATTTGCAGGAAAATGGCCTCTCTATGTGGCTTGGCTCTTTTTCAGCATAGTGACCTCAGGGTAGTTGCACTTCTTGCATGGCGACCAAGGGTTCCAGGCACACATATTTCATCAGGCAAGGCAGAAGCTGTGTTGCCTCTTACAACAACCCTGGAAGCCATGTAGCATCTCTTCCATACGCTCTATTGGTTGAAGCTTTCAGAAGCCCACCAGATTTAAGGAGAGGGGACAAAGATCCTACCACTTGGTAGGAAGGTGGCAGGGTCATATTGAAGAGAAGAATATGGGATAGCAGATATTGTTGTGACCATCTTTGGAAAATAAAATTTTCCACAATGAGTGATTCTGTACAGGCTTAATTCATATTACAATATGAAATGAAATATGTTCTATGGTTGTCAAGGATATTTCCTTGAGTAGAGCTATTGTCATTGCCCTACATTCACCTAGTCACATGCAATTTTCTTTGTAATGAGCCTTTCTTTTCCTTTCTATTTTTTCCCCAATGTTGCATTTGCCTAGCTTGAGTTCATTACCTCGGTGATAAAGCTGTTTTAATATTTAATCTATTCCTAGTTTCCAAATCATTTTCTCAGGTGCCCATCAATTCCTTATAAGTGGTTAATTTGAGAGGCCTTTGAAGCATGACTGCATATGGCTAAGGCAAATCTGAATGTCAACCTTGGAAGCATTCTATGACATTCAGATGGACTCCTTTCACTATAGAGGACTTGTTTTTCTATCATGTGATATATCTTGTCAAAAGAGAATATTGGGGCTCAGAAAAAGGTACTTCAAAGCATGGTGCCTTGGGATACTGAGCACGTTGATCTAAAGGAAATTAAAAGGCTTTAGACTTGAGTCCCCTCAGAACCAAGAACTTCGTGAGCTTTTATTGTTCCTCCTCTCAAGTACAAGATGGAACTCTCTTCCATCTCCTCCCTGACATTTTATCAACTAGAGAATATTATCTCATATCACAGGAAGGAAGACTGAGGAATGTCCCCATGCCCAGACAGACTTTTCATCTGTTCTTCTCAAGACACTCTGAGAGATTACCTGGAGACTTTATCTGCATAATAAGATAAACTTTGGCCAGATGCAGTGGCTCACACCTGTAATCCCAGCACTTTGAGAAGCCAAGGCAGGTGGATCACCTGGAGTCAGTAGTTCAAGACCAACCTGGCCAACATGGTGAAACCCCGTCTCTACTAAAAATACAAAAATTAGCTGGGTATGGTGGTGTGCCCCTGTAATACCAGCTACTGGGAGAATTACTTGAACCCAGGAGGTGGAGGTCAAGATCAGGCCACTGCACTCCAGCCTGTGTGATAGATCAAGAATATTCCCTCCATCCCCCCTGCCAAAGAAGATAACTTTGGTTCACAATGAAATTCTACACCTTACCTTCCTGCCACCTCCTCCAGAGCTCAAAGAAACTTTGTCCCTGGTCATTGTTTTTTGGGCTCATCTAATTCCTCTGAAAATTTTTTCTGCCCTTCAAAATTGCCTACATCCCCCATCCATCTCCCTATAAAGAGGGTGCAATTTAAGCTTCAGCCATCTGACTCTTCTTTGAGTCTCATATTTTATATGGCTTCTGTGCTTCTGCATATTAGTAAATTTGTATGCTTGTTCTCCTGTTAATCTGTCTAGTGTCCGTTTATTTCAGCAAAACTCAGAGGGTAGAAGGAAAAGTTTCCCTCCACCCCTACAAGGGCCAGAAATAGTGCCTTTCTCACTCAACATTTGTAGTGTTGTTGAAAGAGCTAGCACTCTAGTGTCAGTGAGAATTCCGTTCATGCCAGTTGTCTTATTTAATTGTGTAAAACTGAGTACGTTTCTTAAAAAAAATAGCGGTTAGTTTCCTCATCTATAGGCTGAGTATAAAAACCTCTACTTTACAGAGTTATAATAAAGAAATAATTAAAGAAGCTTCTGCTGTAGGACCTAGTTTACAGCGTAAACTCAATGTTAGCTAGTAACAAGAAAAACTACATTGACATTTTCTGTTCCCATAAATTCCCTCTCAACATAAGCCTTGATCAGTTCTTGCACTGATAGGCTAGTGTCACTGGAGAGGTGAGAGATGAAGCATCCACATAAGAGTGATTATTGAAGAAGGTGGCTTCCTCTTCTTTACCTTTTAGGTGGTGGCACCACAAAGTTCACCTGAGAACAAGGATGAGCCAAGCTTAATGATGAGCTAACTCCTGGACCCTGGAGTTGACAGAGGGCATCTTCTTTGAGGGGTGTTCTGTCCTTACGTGGGTCTCTATTGATGTTGATTGGGTTTTTATTTAAGTATTCAAAGGAGATTTTCCTTTATCTGACCTCCATAGCTCATTGTACCCCTAATTGTAAAAATATGTACATGTTTAGTGAAATGTATTAAAACTTTGACAGTGTTTGCTTTGTAAGAAATAAGATACAAAAAGTAGGATGGATACTCCTCTACTTTCCCTTGGAAGTTCTCCATTTAAAATCTGTCTTTAATCTCCAATTATTATAATCATTATAAAGATGAAAATGTTTATTACATTATTTTAAACTTCAATAAAGCTTTAATTGACCTGGATGTATTATCTTTCCATGCAACAGGTGGTGAAATTTACCAAGTCCTTTGAATTGATGTCCCCGAAGTGCAGTGCTGATGCAGAGAACAGGTAGGGCTTGTGGGGTTCATGTTTGTCTTTTGATGTTCTTTGGTCCTTGGTGTTAGCAGCATTGCATAATTCTTAGAAGATAGTAGTAGTTCTTTATGTTAGCAAGTACAATCAAATATCACTCTTCTGTATTTCGGGGCTTAAATCAAAACTATAGCTCAAAAATAAATGCGTATATATTTAGTTTGCAGTCAGTTTTTAGGGCCAAATTTTAGGACTTGTAATAGGATTAAAATATTGCCTTGAGCCTATAGTCTTCTTTTCCCTGAACTTTGTAAATTTTGTTTGTTTGTTTGTTTGTTTTGTTTTTTAAGATGGAGTCTCGCTCTGTTGCCCAGGCTGGAATGCAGTGGCATGATCTTGGCTCACTGCAGCCTCTGCCTCCTGGATTCAAGTGATTCTCCTGCCTCAGCCTCCTGAGTAACTAGAATTACTGGGGTGTCCATACCTGGCTAATTTTTGTATTTTTAGTAGAGACAAGGTTTCACCATGTTGGCCAGGCTGGTCTTGAACTCCTGACCTCAAGTGATCTGCCTGTCTTGGCTCCCAAAGTGCTGGCATTGCAGGTGTGAGCCACTGCACCCAGCCACCTTGTAAGGTTTTGAAATAAATCTTAAGATATTCTGCCGACTCCTGAACTTCAAATCCAAGTCATTTAGGTAAGTTAATATGGAATAGTACTGGAGCAAACCTATTTTCTTTAAGCCAACAGTTTCCATTTCTCTTCACATTGCATATTTGACTAAATCTTTTAATAAATAAAGGAAAATTTTGGATAGATCCTAGCTGTATGGACTGCCTAATTTTCTGCTTTATTTTGGCCCTTTGTTTCTCTTCCTCCCTTTTGTCTGCTCATATTTGGCCAATAACATCCTTTTGGAAAAATGACTGAAGGTTTTCAGTAATTTGCTTTTTGTTTTGATTGGCGTCTTTGAGGCTGTAACAGGGTAGAAGTGAAGATTGCAAGCAATCAGTGAATTTCTCTTAGCTTTTTACTGCCTTGAATAAGAGCCATGTTGCTGCAAAAATTCCCCTTGGTTGCTCTCTCCAGAGGAAGTGTTAATAAATAGTGAAATTAACCAAAATGCAGACATGGAGAAAGAATTGTAAAGTACTCAGGGCAGTATGATGATGATCACAATGACGATGACATTGGTACTAAAATATATGCAACTTCGATTTTTCTTAATGCTAGGTGTTCCATGTAGTATGCTAAATGATTCATAAGCATTTAATCCCCAAAACAATCTTTTGAAGTAGGTGTTCCCCACATGTGACAAAGGAGAAAACCAAGGTTCGTCAAGTTTAAGTAACTTGTTGGAGGCCCCACAGCCACTAAGTAGTAGCCACCAAGGACAAGATCACCTAGCTAAGATTCTTCCGACCTCTGAAGTTTGATTCCATAGCTACACATCATTTAAAATCTGGTAGTTGATCTCATCTGGTGAATACCTACTGGGTTAATGCTTCCCAAATCTAATGGGTCAATAAGAATCAGGCTTAGACAAGTTAGTAGAAACTAAATTCTCAGGACCCACGCTGAGAGATTCTGATTCAGTACTTCGGAAGTGAAGTCCTAAAGGTCTATATGATCTAAAGGCCCTCTGGGTAATACCTATTTCAAGATGTCATAGTTAAGAGCAATTTGATTTTTATATCTATCATTACCTTTAAATTAAAAAAATAGAAACAAGTAAATAAAAAGTAAATTACTTTTTATCAAGTGCATGAAGTTTAAAAGCTGCCTTTGCTACATACTATATAACTCCATTTACAGGGCATTCTTAAGACGTCAAAATTATAGGAAAAGAAAGCAAATCAGTAGTTTCCAGGGGCAGGAGATGGAGAGAGGGGTTGACTTCAAAGGGGTAGAGGGTTGTGATGGAACCATTCTGTATCTTGCTTGCAGTGGTGATTATACAACTATATTTGTCAAAACTTGCAGCAATCTACCCAAAAAAGGGTGAATTTTACTGTCTGTAAATAATACCTTAAAATGGAAATTGAAATGGCAAAAAGAGTCTTTGGTAAGAGGTTTTATTATTCATAAAAATGAATTTTATGTTCACATCTATGTCTGTGTTCACATCTATATCTTTTGACCCTTTGTTTCTTTTCCTCCCTCTTGTTTGTTCACATTTATGTTCACATTCATATCTCATACCAGCTAATCTATATGTAACAAAGATATTTAAGCGTAAAAAGTTACTAGTGGTATATTCAGCAATTTTCCTGAATTGTTGTGAAACAACATGAAATACAATAGAAAAATATCTATTCATGCCGATTTATTTAGCTATTCATTACCGCATATAAGTTCTGTCTCTCATATATGAGAAAGCAAAGCTTTATTGAGTTACTAAAACACAACCTTTGAAGTCCTAATGCTTCAATATTGTTATTTTTTATGCTGCTGAACATGTTCTCATGGTCACTTCATAGTTAAATACTTCTTTTTTTTATTATTATTTTTAATGCTGAGAGAACTTCCATGTCAAAATGAAATGACCAAAGACCTAGACTGCCCTTGGCAAACTTTCTGCTAATAAAAGAAAAAAAGGTCAGGTTTTCTTTAAAGAGACATTTGAAAAGTGCCTTTGAACTTTGACATTATGAGGTAGTCTTATTCATCATTCTATTTATGGCTTTTAAATTAATGTAGAATGATCATTTATCTCAGAAGACCTTTCCATCATTGTCCAGTAATTTTCCTTTTGTAGAAGATGTGGGTTCCTTCAGTCATTTATTGGAAGTTAAAGGAACCAAGACCAGTGACTCCAGAATTTACTTCACCAGTGACATGGAAAGGACATTGAGATGGGCTATGAGTCTACAAATCACAGCCTGATCGCACAGCCTGATCTTTCCTTTAACCTTTCATCATTTAACATTTTAGATATAGATGATGTCTATTCTGTTAGATACTTCAGTCCTCTGAACATCAGTCAGAGTTATAATAGTGTAGTTTTTAGAAGACAGTTTCTATGGCTCCTTGTAACAATGTTTCAGGGTACTATTTTAATGCTGATGAACTCTGCTTTGAAGCTTGCAGATTTTTATAGGTAGTCCTTAAAGCCTTTTTTTTTTTTTTTTAATAAAAACCAGTTTTGCTGACTCATCACTTCTGCTTAGTGTCTTTTGCAGCTTTGTCATTGCTAGTCTCCTGGTGGTCTCCATGCAATGAGTACCAACCAGTTCAAGAGCTGGGAATGATTTGATCCATCCCCCTCCATGAGGTGTGTGCATCTCTTCTAGGACATCATTGGTAACACCCCAAGTGACAGGATTCTCACTATGTCATGATAGCCTTCTTGCATTTATAAGAGGTTCTAGTAGCTAGAAAGGCATTTTATGTTGAATTATATTCCTATAACTTCTATCTGTTTATTCTAAATTTGTTTCTTGGAGACAATTATTCCTTCCTTCAACAGTCATATGTTGAGTACCTACTCTATGCTAGGTGATAGGGCTGCACAGTTTTTTTAAATTAGCGGTCTCTGTCCTCAAGGATCTCAAGGCTAATGAACAGTGGTGGGAGTGGGTTAAGAATATAATACAAACATGACCAGATTTCACCAGGCCTCCAGACTATTGCTTTAAATAAACAGAGTCACATTAATAGTTATAATTTATATATTTGGCTACTTAGGCATTTATCCTATGTAGTATAGCATAAGACCCCTAGTCCCTTGTAAAAGCCATCCTTGAAGTATTACTGGAGTTTCTAAGATTTCTCTTTTTAGAGGTAGGACCTCACTGTGTTTCCCAGGCAAGAGTGCAGTAGTGCAATCATAGTTCACTCTAAACCTTGAACTCGTAGGCTTAAGTGATCTGCCCATCTCAACCTCCCAATTACCTAGGACTACAAGTACATGCTACCACACCTGGCTAATTTTTTTTTTTTTTTTTTAGACAGAGTTTTGCTCTTGTTGCCCAGGCTGGAGTGCAATGGCATGATCTTGACTCACTGCAACCTCCTCCTCCCAGATTCAAGTGATTCTCCTGCCTCAGCCTCCCAGGTAGCTGGGATTACAGGCATGCACTGCCATGCCCAACTAATTTTTGTATTTTTAGTCGAGACAAGGTTTCTCCATGTTGGTCAGGGTGGTCTTAAACTCTCGACCTCAGGTGATCCACTCTCCTCGGCCTCCCAAAGTGCTGGGATTACAGGCGTGAGCCACCATGCCTGGCTAATATTTAAGTTATTTTGTAGAGACAGGGATCTCACTGTGTTGCTCAGGCTGGTCTCAAATTCCTGGGCTTAAGGAATCCTCCTGCTTTGGCCTCCCAAAAGTGCTGACATGAGCCACCATGCCCTGCCTAAGATTTTTTTTAACTAATTTATTACTGACTCATTATTTCTTCCAAGTTGTCACCCATAAATTCTCTCCCTCTGGCCGTGACAGAGCAGTGTCCTATGATGTGGGCTTCTTTGCCCACTCCAGAATTCCCATGGGCATAACTGCACTCCTCATCAGAGCTGTGCCACAGCTCCCCAACATTGTTTTAGATGCACTGGTGACCTTCACGAATCTGGGGAAGGCTGGATGATTTGTGCAGAAATGGGAAGAAGGCACACTTTCTCTTCCAGGTGTCAGTCTGTTGCCTGGTCCCTCAACAGCCCTGAGCGTACCCATTTTTTTACATGCCTTTAAATTCCTAGAGCTTTTGTTAGATGTTAACCTACAGAGATCAAGTGCACGTAGGGAGAGGAATCCACAAGAGAAAAAATACAGGACAGAGTGCTTGAGTAGCCTGAATGTTAAACCTTTTATGAGGACACAGTACTTTCTCCGAGTTCCCTGGTAATGAGTATTGATGATTCCTGTCCTTTAGAGAACCAGTACACTCAAGGAATGATGAGATAATCTGGTACATTTTAGAACAATAGGGAGTTAGAACTAAAAGAGATTCTATTTCCAGAAAGAATACTTTTTCACTAACTGGGAAAATATAGATATTTGCTTCATGAGCATATGGGAAGAAAAGGAGCCAGCTCT